ATGTATGAATAACTGATAAAGCACAATTTTAGAACTACGGTAATGGACAAGAAACTTAATAGTGGGATAGGACAAACAATAAAATAAACCTAAAAACTAACAATAAACGGCTAAAAAACGAGTAACCTGATATCCACTTCGTATTTTTCCCACAACCGATTTGCCTTTGTGTGATCATTAGATTGTGTTTCATGTGGGGACATTGTAATTTTATCATGCCTGCTTTGATCATGCATCATTCGCATGGCTCTCACTGTAAACCGAGAAAAATATCATTATTATTATTATTATTATAATGCATCATAAGATCTATTGAGTGGGGGATTATAAACTATGTCCCTTCAGCCAGGCCCCATGGAGCGTGGGGTATTCCTCACGATTTGTGTAAATTTGGTGACTTGATTGGTCACCCTGGCCAGCCGGAATTGCGCTTCTTCAGTTCAGTTTTCACAGGACGATTCGTGGCTCTTGCCAATCAAGCATCCAGATTTGTGTGTTGTCGGCGATTTTCCTTGGCTTCCAACACTTCAATACCTGTGCTAACCAGAACTTCCGGTCTTCGAGGATGAATTCCGGGATTCTAGCCACTGGACTACTCACATTGGGGCTATCATGCAGCTTAATGCTGAATTTCACGCTGAATTGATCGTCGCTTTCTGAGTTTTGCATTATGCACGTAGGTGATGAGTAAATGAAGAAATGCACAATGTTTATACGTCCACTCAATGAAAGTGCTAAACAAATGAATCTAAGGTTGTACCAGTAATATAAAAATGATTAAGCAAAAGGAATTATCTAACGGTATTAAAGAAACTGAAATGAGCGATAAATAAAAGTTTCACGTCGGAGTGAACAGTTTTTTCTCTATGCTAATGATGTCCATGAATTCGTACGTCCAGCAACGGACGAAGTAAGGAACCAAAACAGAACGACTGGTATCACGAAACCTGAACGACGGTTGTTTTCGAATGAGCTGGAGAACAGAGAGAGAAGCGTACATGTAGGTTAGCGTACAGAAAGTAAAAGTCAACGTACCGTGACGAACATGGTAATCTTGGTTCGATAAAAGAACAAGGTCCGGAAGATGGAAAAGATAATTGAGCAGAAAGGATTCACACTGTCACTACAGGCCTACATTGAGGTGTATTGTTGTTCATTAATAAGCTAAGTTCAAAGTTTATTATGATTTTCTTTTTGATGAACCTGCGTGTATCTTAGACGAGTCAAGCGTCGCTCCAGTGTCGTAACCCTTGAGAATTTTCCATTCCGAAATTCCCGCAAGGCACACCACTACAAAATTGATTCTGGTGTGAATATTTTCCCCCAACACTTAGGCAGTATCTGATATGGAACTTATCCTGCTCATGTACCGGCCCCCAAATCACACGACCCATGGGGTTCATTATTCGATCGGTCGAATGGTTCATCCGCAACCACATATCCGGTATATTTCATGTTGAGTTTCTGAGAAACCTTCCAAACACATTATGATTCAGGGTGACATAAATCTATCTGTGTGTTGTTTCTCTATTGACATTTCTCAATCACAAACCCCATACATCATTCTGTATCTGTTAACTTTCTGCCCAGAACATTAGAATTGTACGTGGTCAGAGAACGTGAGCGACCTTTTGCCTCTCTCTAGAAATCATATTTAACTCTGGTTTGCTTGAGTGCTCTTGGCCGTAAATTTGAGGTTTGCTGTTGTACATTTGTAATAATTTCCCTAATTCAGTACCGAAAAACACTACAAATCAATCCAGTTTTGTTTTGGGATTTGTAACAATTTTGGCTAGGCGTTACTCAAGTGCGAATTGATTGGCGTACAGTACTCGAATTGCAGGCAAACGAGCAAACTATTTCAAAGATTCCCAGACGAGGAATCAAGGAAACTGGAACCCAATAGGAAGTAACCCGGAGAGTCACTGGTGGCTGTGGGTCGTTTTGGTTTTTTAGAAAATACTAAGTCTGTTAGTACTGTCAGTGCTGTTTCAGGTGTTTACTCAGATGTTAAGGATATCGATATGTTTAGATTGCGGGTTTCTGAATTAGAGCACGAGTTGAGATTAACTAGACAGCAGATAGAACAGGCCAAACGTGGAAAGACCGATTTCAAGGGCGCAACAACATTTCGAGCTGAGATTGCGCACGGTACCTACTCTCCAAATAAAGAATCCGTCCCGAAGCAAAGAACCTATGCCCATGTGAACGTTCATTTGCGAAGAATCAAACTGATGCCTTTCGACGGTAATTCCGAACAATACTGCTAATTTATTCGCCAATACGAAACTTTCTTTGAATGCAAAACCGAAGATGCAGGAAAAAGGTTTCTGTTTTTGCTGCACTGCTGTTGTGGGAAGGCCAAAGAAGCCATACAAGGGTGTGCAGTGCTGGACCCGGAAGTGGGCTACCTGAGAGCCACAAATATACTGAAGGAGATGTTTGGTCAACCATTCCGAGTGGCACGAAATATGATTGACAGATTGCTGGCAGAAGCGAAACGCACATCAGACGATACTAGGTCTCCATCAAACTTAGTCAGCAAGATGTAGAACTGCAGCGTCGCCCTCATTTATCTCAAATATTGCTCAAACTTGGATGCACTTCAAACGCTCGAATCGATAGTCAGATATTTGTCTGCCGAACTGCAGACAGCCTGGGCGATCGAGGCCGATCGAATCAAGAAAGAGAACAAAGAAGGAACTTTTGACGACGTCACTGAATTCAAAGGCTGCTAAACTCGCATTGCAAACAGTAGATTCGGTCAACTGGTAAGAGAAAACATCAGAACCGCCAGACCTTCAACCAGCTTCACGCCATCTGTATCTCGAGGTCTCCATCCTGCACACAACTGGGCGGGTACCAATCTAATCTCATATGAGTCACAAAAACCGATTAAGTGCAAACGGTGCTCAGGTGTCAACAAGATTTAGCCTGCTAGGAATTTTGGGCAATGAAGGTGACGGACCGTTGGACAGTAGCTAAAAAGTCAGGGTCTTGCTTTGTGTGCTTCAGTGACACCCACAGAGCAGCCCTNCCAACTGTGATCAAGACAATTGCAGGGTTTGGCATCACTCCTTAATACACAACGGTGGAAGAGTGCAGCCACGAACAAATAATGGCTGGGTCGATATAACCAACAAAGACTCTGCGGCGGATATACCGAAATCAGTCTCCACTATCAGACGGATGTCAAGTGAGCCGACGCGCTTGGGAATAATACAAATACAAGTAGTTTGGTCCAAGTTGTGATGTTTCTAGACAATCGATCAGATACCACCCTCGTCAGAGAGAGCTTTGCGCGAGAACACGACTTGGGAGGACAAAACACCTCACTG